AGGCCTGGGTCGCTGCCGGTTCCAGCGATCCAGGCTGCTATATCACTACCGGTTCATCCGAACCGGGCCGAACCGGTAGGAATCCATCTTTGGACCTCACAATGCTTTACAACTTTCTCTAAGTGGTTTACAGAGTCAGCCTCTTGCCCCCAACAATCTGGCTCCTTGTTTGACTGACCGGAGTCAACCTTGAGCCGGTCAGGATCGAACTGCTGACAGTCGGCAGTTAGCCTGCAATACTGCATTCTAACCACTGGGAAGGACAGAAGGAAGGAAGGAAGGGAGGGCAATAGCAATAGCCCTTAGATTTATATACCGCTTCACAGTGCTTTTACAGCCCTCTCTAAGTGGTTTACAGAGTCAGCATATTTCCCCCAACAATCTCGGTCCTCATTTAACCGACCTCGGAAGGACGGAAGGCTGAGTCCATCTTGAGCCAGTCAGAATCGAACTGCTGCATTGATGGACTTCAAAACTTTTTTTCATACTGATTCTGTGGGCGTGGCTTGGTGGGCATGGCAGGGGAAGGTTGTTGCAAAATCCCCTTTCCCTCCCAAACAGCTGGGACTCGGGAGGCAGAGAAGAGATGGGGGCAGGCAGTAGTGGGTTGCCCATTTTTTACTACTGGTTCGGGTGCGTTCCCACATACGACGCTTCTGCGCATGGGCAGAAGCATCCAGGTGGATGGGCGGAGCCTCCCACCACCGCTACTACCTGTTCTCTTGATCCGGGCCAAACTGGGCACAACTCACCTCTGGGGCGTGGCCAGCCAGAGGTGGTATTTACCGGTTCTCCGGACTACTCAAAGTTTCCGCTACCGGTTCTCCAGAACTGGTCAGAACCTGCTGAATCCCACCTCTGCACTGCTGGCTGCGGGCGGAGTCCGCCTGCCATTCTGCATTCTAGCCACTAGGCAACCATGGCTCATTCCTTCCAGCCGGAGTCTGTGGTTGCCCTTGTGTTTTGCAAAACGATCTATTTTCATTAGCAGATGCAGCCCCGTTTTCCTGTTTGACCTTTTTTCACTTTCCCTAAATGGACAGTAATGACAAGCAGATGTTTTTGCAATGGATACTAAGTAATGGACAGACTGAGGAAGCGGGGGGGGGAAGAGAAAGTGGGGGGAGCTGTGTCTGTGGTGTTCAGGAGGGAGGTTAGGGAAAGAAATACTTCTGAATTTGGAAGCCAGCCAATACCCAAGACTAATCTTTTGCTTCTAACAAAGTCGGCTGTAGTCTGAGAAGTTGATTGTGCTGCGAGCAATTTACAACCTCCACATAAATACTCCGGCTTGGGGTCAGTCGGGATGGAGATCTGTGCATTTTAACGATGACTTTCCTCTGCCGTTAATTTCAAGCCAGCATGGAAAAATCAACTTATTTAGTCTAGATCAGGCGGTGCCCAACCTGTGGGCGTTGGCTTATTTGCAACTGGGTCGCATGTGTGGCCGGCTGGCGCATGTGTGTGCGCGCATGCATGCACAGCTCCATTCTCACCAGGCATGAAATCGTCTTACCTTCGCTACTGGTTCGGAATTGCTCATGCGGAGATGGTCCGCGATGACGTCTGGGTAGGTAGGCGGAGCCTCCCGCTACCGCCGCTACTGGTTCGCCCGAACCAGAGCAAAAACCAGCAGAATACAACCTCTGGAACGAGCTCCCCGTGGAGATTCGGACCCTCTCCACCCTTCGGGCCTTCCAGACGGCCGTGAAGACCTGGCTGTCCCAGCAAGCCTGGAGTTGAGTTCCCCCCCCCCTACTCGAATTTGCTGTGTCTGTTGTGCTTTTAAATTGTTCGTATTGTCTGATTGTT